GGTATTGTAAAATTGTTTTTTTATACGTTGCACACCGTGTGAAAAATCAGTCAATAACATCAACGTTCTTACCTGTAAGTCTAGACACCTGACAAAAACCTGTCGTTTCCGAAAAATAAATTGCGGCACCAAAAACATGTTCTTGCAGAAAAAGGAATTCATGATGATCAAGAAAATGCGGATGTGTTCTACGCGGGAAATGCAAAAACTTTTAATTACATGGTTAAATTATATATGATATTTAATGTATTTGTTTAATATATGATAATTTAGCTACGTAGCAATTAACGTTAAGAGTGCATATAATAATTAATTTTTTGTTCGCTTTTCTTAAATCGGTAAATGGATACCGATTCTAAAATGACCTACTTCATTTCACGCTTTACGAATGTCTACTTCATTTCACGATTTTACGAATGTGGATCGACCTAAATTCCGTAACGACGCAGAACATAACCAACAAAATCATTCTTAACACAGGCAGTTATCATGCGTAAGTAGCTCCATAACTTTAACTTAATAACGCTTAATAATAAAGTTCCAAACTTTCAAAATTTCATTTTTTTTTTTATAAAATTTTTTATATCGATACATTAATTTATATTATGCAAATTTCAGTTCGGAATATGATCGGGATGGGTTCGACTTTTTTGAACAAATCGGAATATATCTTAAAAAATTTTTTATAGGATTTCGTCATTCGTCAAGCATCATTACTACAAATATTGATGCATTATCTTCAATATATGTATTGTAATGATATTTTGCTGAATTAATAAATTTACATGTTTAGAAAATTTATGTTGTGTTATGCTCGTAGCTTTCTCTTAATACACTCCGTTCCTGATACAATCTAATTAATTGGTACAAATTACCTGGGCTTGTTAATTCACAAACCTGATACACATAAGTTTTCATATATTATGTAATGTGAACTTTATTTATTAATAAAATAAATGAATACTAAAAATATATATATCTATACATTTATATATGAAAAACGGAAATTAATTTATGAGATAAGGCTACGTAAAATTAATTAATTTGTTTTCATAATTAGGGTGTGCCAAATTTTGAACTTGTAAAAAAATATTTTAATAACTAGATGGGTTTTAAAAAAATTTCTATAAAAATTTTATATATGAAAATTTTTTTAAAAAAGAAAGGCCGGCCGACAGGTATGTTTAAAAGTTTGATGCTATAAAACCAAGATATTAAAAGTTTATAGCCTACTTTTAAGATTTTCTTTTTGGTTATATATCGACTGTACCTTATTCCGAGTTTTAGTTGAACTAAAGAAAACTTTAATCCAAATACCAAAACCAACGAGGCTGGCAAAGACTAGTACAATGATTAAAATGATTTCAACAGTTGAAAGTCCTGATGAACTATTATTAGAAGGATCTGTAATATTATTATTAAAAGCTGGAAAGGCTGAGGTTATAACACTTAACATTTCCTTATCATTACTATCTGCATAAAGATCTAAAATGGCTATACCACCATATGAACTATCCGCAATTAATTTCAGTTTATATTGAATAGATTGAGGATCTTCATAAGAGACGTAATAATATTCATAGGAACCCACGACAAGTGAGTCTGAATTAACTTTGTAAAGATATGTGGTACTTGTATCAGAATCAAATTTACGAGCCCAACCATTTCCAGCTGTACAAGTATTTATCAGTGGTCCAGTTTCCAGTCTCATAAAATACCATGGATATAATTGAATAGACATATCCAATGTAAATGAACATTTATCATAAAAAAGATAAATAGAGGGATCACTACTATAAGAAGTGTCTAATGGTAGTTTTGTTAAGTTACGTGGAATAATTTGGTTATTGTCAAGACTGCCCAGATCAACTGGAGCAGTTAATTCAACAATTCCATAGAAGTCTACACCTAAGTTGAGTTTTGCCGGTTTTATAATCTTGCTCCAATTACTCATTATTGTTGATGTCTGATTAAGTGTGATGCTTGGTCCGGTGTTATTGGTAGGTGTGGTTAAGCTATTGATTACATTGAGTTGAGTTGCCTAAAATTATAAAAAAAATGTAAAAGAGAGAAATAATTTATTATATTCATAGGGATAGTTAAAATAATGGAATAGCTTACCATGACATTCACAAAACTAACTGAATCAGAATTCAACCCAGTTATTGGAATAGGACCAACTGTTATTGATAATTCTTTATTAATTTCTTTTAATGCAGCTGATAATTCATCTACTAATGGGACAAAATTTTTATCATTTAGCCACTTTCCGCAATTAAACCTGTTCGGATATTCAAGATCAACCTGCAATATATAGATATATACTAAATTTTTTATTTAAAAATACGACTAAATTAATTTAATCTGAATATTTAACATACACCGTCCAATTTATAATTGCGTACGAAGTTTACAACATTAGTAATAAATGCGGCTCGGTCACTGGAAGTTCCATTTGCAAATGATGGATTAGAATTGATATTGATGTTTCCCGATAAAACGATCGCTAGAAATATCTAATAAAAAGATATAATAGCTGCTTGTAACTGTATAATACCAAAGTGTATCAGTGTTATTAGTGTTATTAGATTTTACCTTGACCGGAATGTTATTTGTATCCCTATAAGCTACTGTTTTATTTAAAAAAACATGTACTGATGTTGGAGGTATATTTTTATTTGAAACGTCATCTGGACCAAATGCTACATAATTAATGAAATAAGTATTAGTTATTTCGGTGTGAGTAATTTAAATGAAGTTAATAAAGTTAATAATTAATACCAATCCAATTTAGATGCGTAATGTTCCAAGGAATTTGACTTGGACTAATGTAATCATAATAACTTTCGGAAGATGATGAAGCATATTGAGTGTATTGAGTGTATTGAGAGTAATAACCAGGAAAATATCCAACAATTATCTTCGAATCTTTTGATAGTGGTGTTTTTATTTGTAGACATGTGGAATCTAAACGTTTTTTGTTCAAAGGACTCATCAAAACACCGTTATGAGTTATCAATATTAAAAAAATTAATGTAAGGAATGTATGGGAAAAAGAGAATGTTCTCATGATTTACTGTAATGAGTCTAGACTAAAAAAAGTTAACGATGAATCACTAACAGAAACCTCATGTCTAGATATTTAAGAAAATGTATTGGAACTGCCATGGATGGAAAAATTACGATGATAACATTTATAAATGAAACATTTTATTCAAACAAAATTAAATTTGTGTTAGGCATCAAGTTTTTTCCTTTTTTAACACAAGTATCATTATCGTTTACGTTATGTATTACGGTACTTAGTACGTTGTAACTGGGTAATATGACCTAGCCGCAGTTACGAAGCACATAACTCGGAACCCGAAATGCGAATTGATCGACAAAGTGAAGGCATTTAATAATGCTAATTCGGGTTTGGGCGAGGCGATGCTCCATTGAGAACAATGGAAAAGCGTCGCTGGTATTCTCTAAATAGCTATATTTACGTTGTACCGTTCGGGTCAAAAGTGACATAATAAGCGGTCTAGGGTTTTAGAGAATTAGCGTTTTAGAGTTGTAGCGTTATTGCATTTAGTGGATGATTTCCATAAAAGGATTATAATCTACATGACTATTGCCTTATTTGGTCATGCAAGGTGTAAATAATTTCCATAAAAGGGTGAATTACCTTAGTAAAAATTTTGATTTAGCGTTTTAGCGTTTCAGTGTTTCAACGTTTGACTTTCAACGTTTCAGCGTTTTAACGCATCAACGTTTCAACGTTTTAGCATTTCAACGTTGCTACTGGAACTAAACTCATAGCACTATCAAATTTTACTATAAACTAAGCACTTGAAATGCATATTGGAGTTACAAATATAATAATATAGTTTAATTATTTTTAATTTATTTTCTTAAATATTAGTTTAAATTATATAGTAAATAGATATTTGTATATCTAAAAATAAAAAAATTAAATTAGATTTTGTGTTATAAATTAATTTAATATAGTAAAGACTTTATAAATATATAATTTTAGAACTAAACTTTAGCAACTTGTATTTAGAGAGTAAAATAAAAAGGTATTTATAGATGTTATATAGTATTAAGCTTAAATTTGAATATGTTTTTGGAAAAAAAGTGATTTTTAGAGGGTATAAATATAGAGGTTTAATATATAAAGTAATAAATTATTTTAATATTAGAAAAATAAAATTTAATAAAAGTTTAAAATTAAAAAAAGAATAGATTTTTTTTTCAACTTTGGCAGTCTTGCTAGTAATTCTTTATTAAGATTGTCTTGTTACAGGCTGTACAAGATACTTTAAGCTTAACATTTAGGCCTGACATTTTGCAGCTATTTCTATGAGCACTTACAAGTGATCTGCTACACTAGGCTAATAAATCTACAAAAGACATATTATGGTAAATCTATAGAAAATCCAAAGACCACCTATTCTAGAAAGCCATATCAGACTACTGCCCTACAATAGTATATTGCCAATCTAATGACATCTTCTCATAGAGAAGTAAAAAAGGGAAAAAAATTCTAACATTAATACTAATAATAAAATGGGAGAAAGAGAAAGAACAAAAGTAAAAAATCTGATAAACATAATTATAAGCCTGTGTCAGGCTAACAAAAATTACATATTACAAATAAAAAAGCTCTGTATTTAACTCTATTCTAATAATATATCTAATTCATACTAAAAAAAAAAAAAATAGTAAATTTAAATGAGACTAGTAGAGTAGTAAAAAAAAATATACTGATAGTCTCAAAGTATTGTTTAAATAATTTTTTTTAGTCAAAACACGTCACCTAATTGTATTGTCCTTCGAATGTGCTTGGTTGCTGAGCTAACCCATTTTGGATTAAATAAACAATACCAACTGTTTTGAAAAATTATGTGTTGATCTTTTGGAGGAGATAAGCTAAGACGCCTAATTTTTGACAAAATTTTCTCAAAAAAAGTGGTGGGTCAACAAAACTTTGTAGGTTCTTCTTTGTAAGTTTTATAGTTGTATAGAGACTATCATCAGATTTTTAATATGCTTAATGTTGACCTAGTCATTCTATATTCATAGAATATCTTATCCTTCTGGTTTGGATGCTAAATTTAATAGGCGAGTCTGCTAGCAAGAAAGCTTAATCTCTACAAAAACTGTTCAAAGTAGTCTACTTCTCAGCTTTACACTCTTGGTACTTCATCAAGAATACACCTACTTGTATAGGACTAAGTAAATTATCACCCTTTGATGTCTTCAATAGCGTTGGTTGTAGTTCAGATTTTTGGACTTGTTAACCAGAAGATTGTTAGAAAGAGTTTTGTTGACTTAAAAAAAATAAATTTTAATTATAATATAAGAAAAAATTGATATAATTAATTAATAATTTATTTTATAATACAGTTTAACCTCCCTATAATCACACCCATCGGGATAAAGATTTGTGTGATTGTAAAGAGAATTTTACTAGAATGTGCTTATAAAGAGGTTTTTTTCTATATATTTATAATAGTTGGTTTTAAAATAAATGTGCTTATAAAGAGAATTTTTATATGATGTGCTTATATAGAGGGTGACTATAGGGAGGTTTGACTGTATATAATGCAAGTTTTTGAGACCAAATTTTAACAACATGTTTTAGAAGCAATAAGTAATATATTTATAAAGATAATAAATATTTGAGTTAAAATTTAAATAAGAATTTAGAAAAAAAGAAAACTAATGTTATATATAAAGTTGCTATCTATTTGAAGTTGCAACTTTAAATATTCTAAGTTGCTTTATTTATATTGCAACTTTAAATATTTAAAATATAACTTTAGATAAAAAGGTTTAAAATTAATACTTTAAATATTTAAAGTTACTATTTTAAATATTTAAAATTCTTTTTTTTTTTGAATATTAATGGTGAGACCATGTCTCTGTCTTTATTAAAATTTAATCTAACTCTCTTACAAAGCAAAAAGAATACAGCTCTCTTACAAAAAAGGAGAATATAATTCTTGTATAAAGAAAAAAATAAATTTAAACTTCATAACCTAAGATAGCAAGAAAAAAAACTCAGACTAATTTATCTGGGCCTAAACCAACTAGGGTGGCCATGGCTCACCTAGATTTGTAGATTAGTAATTATATAGTTTAAGTTTATTTAGTATTTAATCCATAGAGGATACCAAAGTTCTATTTTAGCACGAGCAAGAGTAGTAAATAATGGTTGCGAAAGTTGAGAAAATGAAAAAGGAAGAGAAGAAGGCTGAGAAGATAAAGGGTCACTAAGAGGTTGGACCAAAGAACGAGCAGTACAATAAGGTGTCCAAATATTGTGATAAATTTGTGAATTAAGATGCAAAAGAAATTTAATAGTAATAGTAGAAGCTAATTTAGCAGAT